AAACCCGAACCACCAGACTTTAGGCAAAGTGCAGCATCACGTTACTTAACAAACGAGCTTTTGTGGCAAGGTTTTTGAGCGCTAATCACGTGTCGCGGCCGTTCATGGGTCGGTGTCAAAGGTTCAAAAGGCTAACGATGAGGAAAACTCGGGAGAATTTTTCATAAATGCCATTTGATTCAATGACAAAGTGTTATTATTGCCTTGGGATTTTTTTTAAAGCGATACAGTTTTGCAGAAATATCACGAACAAATTTTTTCCAATAAACTAATGAATCCAAAATTTATAGTAACATTTGTTGACCAACATACATAAATTACACAATATTCTGCACGAGAGAGAGCCTTTTAAATTTTGACCAAGTTAAGCAAAAATGTACCAGGTTGTATCGTGAAAAAAAATTGGGAGTAGGTCTTATTTTCAATTACTCGAAAATGTTCTCATGTCAAAAAATTGAAGTCGAGAGTAAACTTTTGAAACGATAAAATCGTAGTTTAACTTCCTCATTAACATGGAGTCTTCCACAAGGGTAGAGCATCGAACCCCTTTCACTAAACTTGATTCTAACTTGATGAAACTTGGTCCATTTTTCATAAAAACTTCGCTCTGCTCTCTGCTGCCGATGTGGTCTTGGTCGGATTTGGGAGAAAAGTAAAAAAAAACCGAGGCCGGATTACGTCTCTCCTATCTCTGGCCATGTTGCTCAGCTCTGAAAGCATCATCATGGAAAAAACGGAACCAATACAGCATTAAAAAAGAGCAAGGGAAACGACGCGCGTTGATGACGGCGCAGAGATACAACTATTCGTGCTTGATGGATGTCCGTGTTGCATCTGAAAAATTGAAGGCGCTATGGCGCGAGGCGTGATTTCGCAATGCGCCGCTCAGTGCTGGCGGATTTTTGTTACGTCGCGATCGGCATTTTAGTGGGTGGTAAATAAAAATCTCAATAGAAACCCAGGTAGGTTTTCACTTGAGGGTTCTGGTCGACCAAATTCCACGAGTTTTCTCTATCCATCCAAGAGTTTTTGCTGTCCATAAAAGTTCAAAACGGCACCACCGGATCGGACGGCGGCCAAGATATGGTGTCGGGTGTCGGACTGTCGGGGCAGGAAATATTAACGATACATGATGGTCCGGTGTCGGTGCGGAAACACCGGTAATTACCACACGATTGTTGCTCGGTGCAATTAATTAGCCACGCTAGAGCGCGCCGCTGTGGACGTTGCTCCCGATCTCGGGCAGATCAGATCACTGTTTGGGCTGTCGATAGCTTCTAGGCAAAACTCTGGGGGACCATTCTGATGTACTAAGGAAAAACGCCGTATGATCATCCACTGTAAAAAAAGACACATTGGATCTAGAGTCCAGACTCTTGAAAACATTGACAAGAAAAAGGACTCTCGATTCAATCAGATTTAAGCTTAAATCAAAAGGAAATCCGCTCAAATTAAGAGGCTTGGTTCGTGATTTAAGCTTAAATCTGATTGAATCAAGAGTATTTCTTCTTGTCGATGTTTTTTAGAGTCTGGGCTCTAGATCCAATGTTTTTTTTTTTTTTTTTCCAGTGTTCGAGAGTTGCCAAATTCCCTTCCATGAAATGTTTATTTTTGAAGAAAGCTATGGATATTTTTCCTTGCAATTTTTAGGAAATTTAGGTGAAATTAAGAACAAAATTATCTGAAAAATTGGAGGAACAAATTTTCCCGGAAATTCATGATTTATTAAAGGAAATTTGGCAACGCTTGAAGGCTCATACGGCCTTTTTCCTTTGTGCGGTAGCATTACTGCCTTGCTAAGGAAAAACGCCGTAAAAGCCTTCAGACGTTGCCAAATTTCCTTCAATAAAAACCTAATTGAAAGAGAAAATTGTAAATGTTTTTCTGCAACTTTTTAGACAATTTTGTTCGCAATTTTGTCTAAAATGTCGGAAAATTTTAAGGTAAAATATTCAAAGCTTTCCTCAAAAATACATGATTAATTTTAGGAAATTTGGCAACTCTCGAATACGGCGTTTTTCCTTGGCACTGTAGATTACCAGAGAGTATTAACTAGTATCCGCGCAAAGTGTAATGGTCGCATTCGATGATCAGCCTCATTCAACACGCACTGATGACTGATGAGAAACGTGTTAAGGTATGTGTTGAACGATCAGAATCGGTCTGACAAACTTGACCTGCTCACCGTGACATTCATCACCCATCATTGGGTAAAGATGTGATCTGTGAAGTATAAGGTTACCTACTGCCCGTGTAAAATTTTTTCAAGAGTGATCTATGCCTCACTTTTCCTGCTGTGTTGCGGATATGTTGTTTTTCTTCTTTGAAATGATGCACACCAGGAAGGAGAGGGGGGGCGTAATCTTAATTAATGCAAATCTGATAAATGATTCCGTCCAACGTGAAATTCTCTCTTCGATCAAATTAATCGAAGCGGGCTTTATTATTACTCTCGGGCAAAGAAAATTCCTTTAAATTTGACAAAATTTGAACCTACGAGGCTCCTCAGTGTAATGGTTCAACTGTAGAGTGAGGATTGGAAGTTTTAAATGAAGGCTTCTTTTCGGATTTCGTTTGAAGTATATCGTATACTGGACTTTCGAGCATAAAGTTGGTACTTGACGCAGATGATAGGATAAAAAATCCTCGTTCTGTCAGTAAATGAAAGCTCATTTCAATATGACTTGACTTCTTTCCTTTTTATTTAGTTGACCGTATGAGGAAACTGACATCAAAACTGTTACTTGAAAATTAAAAATGCATTTTACGGATAGTTTTTTACTAAAGCAGATCATACGTCAGGAGACTGTTCCAAAATAAAGCCTACGGTTACATTTCGAACCAGTAATCAGCCCTCAAGTTTTTTGAAACATCAAATCCTAAATGACATCGTTAAGAAGAGAATGATAAACTTAATTGATATGAGAAATATACTAGATTGTTCTAGGTTCTGTTTTCGGAAATCAACTTTCCCATTTCAAGGCTTTCATGAGATTTAAAATTAATTATGTTTTGATTGTTGAGCTGTTAAGTAATTTTAATGACTGCTCTACAAAGTTACTCTTTTCACGCGTTTAGAACGATTGTTAAAGTGTAACTGTTGTCCTTTTTGAAGTCAAGGCGTCAAAAACCACGAGCCATTACGGAAATAGTTTTACTCTCGAATGATGAAACTGACATTTTTTTTCGACAAATGACATTCTAGCTTACAGAACATTACATTCGCCATTTTATTATGAATTTCGACATTTTGAATACCCTCTATACATATGAGGGGCACTTAATGTAAAAACATGTAAAAAAGTAGAGCTGACATTATGGTGTTCAGTATACGCATTTTTACTGCACTTTTTTTCAAAATGTGTCAAATATATTCAAGAGCACGTTTTTCTCAAAGAGTTCAGGCTAGAGACGTTTCTGATTCTCACGAATAGACGTTCAGGTCTTTTCCCCAATGCACAGTTTGCAAATTGTGACGTACATATACAAAAAAATATAGCCTTTTTGTGATACTGGGGAAAACGCAAACCATAAGCTGGGTCAAAATGTCGTTTCCCCACGAAAGAACTTAACTAATTTCATTGTTGCCAAATTTCCCTTCGCAAATAGTATTTTCACCGAGAGAATTTTGGGAATTTCTGAAAATTTCACTGATTTTTTCCCTGATTTCATGCAAATATCAGACAAATTTTGGACACACATTGCACGGATACATTTTTGTAAAGAATTGAATTACTTGGGTCATTTTGGCACCCTTGGAATGGAGTTGCGTTCCTCTGTTAAGGAAACGAAGAAAAGCTTGCTATAGCTTACTGTGCTTCAGCTTACTGCAAGCTTACTGTAACACAAACGACTCAGAAAAAAGTGAATTTTTCCTGCAAATAAAACAAAAAAAATTGTTGAAACAGCTCAAAAAAAAGGTAAGACAAAGTATGATTTAGCTGGTTTTATTCTTGATACATATGAGCCCTTCGTTGAAGGTTGTCATACTTTGGCAACAAATTTAAACGAAAATTTTTCCGAAAGCAGTGACCCGGCAACAGAGTTACAAACTCAGTTTCTTCTTCATTACCATCCTATTCTTTGGATCTTGAAAGGCCGCAAGCGGATAACTTTCTCTGGGCACCGCACTTAGCGCGTCGCAGTAGAATGCTAGACAAGGACTTTCATACCGCAGCTACGAGTCTACGGTATTTATCCAAGACAAATGATCAAAAAGAAGAAAAAATTGCGGTGAAAATTGTCGGATAATGCCACTTCTGAGATCAGCCAACTTATGGTTTAACGAAGACCTGCATGCGTGCAACACGTCAAAGTTGGCATCTCGCGCATAGAGCTGTAAGAATGTGATTTTACGAACGCCAGTGTCATTTTTCAATACCCACCGCGGAAAAAGGTGTTAGGGATTATCCCTTAAAATTATGGTACTACACCAATTTTTTGGACACTATGAACATTTCCAACTGATTTTGGTAGTGCCACAACTGAACTTGGGATAGTACCGAAAAAATTTGGGTCAGTAACCTACTTTATTGGGATACCACCACAATTAATTGGAAATGTCCGAATAAAGAACCAATGACATCCTCTTCTCCTTCTTCTTCTTCTTTTTAATTTTAAAATGGAGTCATTACACTGGAATAACCTTAGAGTAATTGACAATTCTAGAAACTTAAGAGAAACCCACAAAAATAGATGCCAAATTTGCGATGCATCAGTAATTTGCAATTCAAACTTACCTGGTCGAGGATAACGACCCTCGTAAACTCTTTTCATTTTGTATTTAATTACTCAGGTTCATTAGCCTGCGAGGCTCTCTGAAGTTTATTATTCGTTGACTCCACGGGGAATTTTTCCATATGTAAATGAGATAATTGTAATGTATTACACTCTACAAGCACTGCCACAAGTTGTCTATTAATTAAAGTTTTCACCTCATCACTCTTGTCAACATGATCAACAATCGAGTCTAACCGATATCGTTGGATTCTCTGTTTCAGATTTTGGGCTGTGACGTGTTATGTGATATTCAGTACTTGTAAACAATCAGAACAGAGAGAAGACAAAAGTTGGATGCCAGGAAAGACACAGCTATGTTTCTCGAATAAATATAGATCCGTGGATGGCACCTGCAATAATGTGAGGCATCCGGATTGGGGAGCCAGTAATACGCCTTTTCTGAGGCTTCTGCCTTACAAATATGGTAAGTTGAGCTTTGATTTGAAAAATCTTCTGCCAGTATTTTGAAAATACATTACATTTTACGCGTCAACTTGTATGTTTCACACGGGAAATAAGAAATAAGGATTGCTGGATGATACGGGCATTTCAAAGTAACATTATGGTAGTGCCCCAAGAAATTATGGATTTCAAAAATTAATAAGGCCATAAAGGCTCCAAGAATACAAAAAAGTCTTCCAACATATCTATGGATCAACACTAAATAATAAGACACCACTGAACGTTTCCAACTTTCTCCGAATGTACACGGAGAAAAACTTCGTGCATGGGACCCGAAGTTGAGGTCATATGGATCTCTGAACTTTTCGGATCACGCATCCAAAAACTTGAGGTCCAACTCCCGAAGTTGGGGTCAGACATCTGAAGTACTTAGGTATGTCCCGGAAACTTCAGATATGTATGACCCGAACCCTTCGGTATGTACCTAAGTACTTCAAATGTCTGACCCGAACTTCGGTAGACCTCAAGTTTTCGGATGCGAGATCCGAAAACTTTAGAGATCCATATGACCTCAACTTCGGGTCCCATGCACGAAGTTTTTTTCTCCGTGTATACTGAAAGTCCGGTGCGAATTACCGAGTGATCGCTTTCCATGACCTTTAAAGTCCGGTGGAATCTTACCGAACTCGGTTGGTCGTGTGTTTCAATCGCCGTAATGCCGTTCTGTTCAAAAAACCTAATACTTAGGTTTGTGCCACCGAACAACCGTATACCGAAAGGCTCGGTAAAAATCACCGAACTTTTTCTTTCAGCCTAGGTTACTAACTCAAATGTTGAGATACTACCTCAACTTGAGCGATACTTCCCGAATTAATTGGAAATGCCCATATCATCCAACAAATTGAAGTATACTACAGTTTTAGGTGATAACCCCTAACATTGCTTTTCATGCATAGTTCAAATGGAAACCTTGTTTAAAATACAGGCCGGAGATTTCAACGTAGAACAGAAATATAATCGATTCGCGAGGGAAACTGATCGCTGGCGTCGCAACAGAAATTATCTGAATTATGCATTCATTACGGCAGACAAAAGTGTAAAAATCTATGGTTCCGCATCGATCCTCATATTTCCGAAATTGCGACTTGAAGATGAAACGCTCTAGAGAGGAGTTGAAACATTTTCTATTGAAACATTTACATTCCTGCTGAACTTTATGATCACAAAAAAAATGTGAGATTAAATGCATTCAAGCACCATGAATGAGAATAATGAATTTGACTTAGGATTAAGTTTATTCAATCTTGACCTTTGATACGATGAATTATGATAAATTGCAATTGGACGCATTTCTATCAAACGGAACTATGTGCATTATGACGTGAGCCTTGTTATGAATATACTCTTATGGATCTCAGGGCTCACGTCATAATGCACATAGTTCCGTTTGATAGAAACACGTCCAATTGCAATTGAGGCTATAGAATGACGAATGCGGGCGCTCAATGTAAGTGACGTGATACAAAATAAGCCGTCTTGCGTTTATATAACTTCAATTTTTGATCACTGAGAAAGAGAGGAAACGAATGCAGAAAAAATGCCCTTCAAAAGTCGGTTATCAACATCTGTCACGTTCAGAAACTCTTCTCGTATGACAGTGATTTAGTCGCGCCACTCACAAACTCGTTGACGATTCCGGATTAAAGATCGGCAAAAAACAATGAAATCCATCCAAACGTCAAATCTCCACGTCTAATATTGACAGAGATATACCGCCCTTCAAAAAATATGAGTATGACGTCATCCACCGCGTTAGTATAACTACCTTGGTTTCTTCCTCTTTGTCTATCCATGTTTTTAGGTCCAGCAACCGTTGCAAATATACGTATCAGCCATTGATGAGTCTAAAGTAGAAGAGACCATGGTATGTACACGAAAAAAATTAAATTGCTAATTTAATAATTCAATTGCTAAAAAAAGTGACAGCAACGTTTCAACGTACAACAAAAAAATGCTACTTTAACTACTATTGTAAGCTAATTTAACCATGGGGATGGTTAAAGTAGCATTTTTGTGTTGTAAAATCTACATTGAAACATTGCAGTCACTTTTTTTAGCGATTGAATTGTTAAATCAGCAATTTAAATTTTTCCGTGATACTTACCCCGATGGATGACTTCATACACCACGTTTTTCAGAGCGCGAGGTTTTTGTTGATATTGAACCTAAAAACTATAGACGTTTGGGAAGATTTTACCATTTTTTGATCGTCTTCAAGCTGAAACCATCAAAATGCGATTCTGTGACCAGCGCAACTGATCCGTTCATTTTTAAAATTGGAGATTCGGAAAGTATTATTTCAAAGCATCTGAGGGCAGTTTTTTAACTATTTTTTGATCGTCTTCAAGCTGAAACCATCAAAATGCGATTCTGTGACCAGCGCAGCTGATCCATTCATTTTTAAAATTGGAGATTTGGAAAGTATTATCTCAAAACATCGAAAGGCATTTTTTTCCGATTCGTACTTAGCCCTTTGATCCGCTTTATCTGATATCCCTCCGGAAAAAGGGCACAGTATAATTTCAAGTTAATCTGATGAATGCATTTTCGCAACAATCCGCATCCAAGCGCAATCAGCTTCGATTGATCCTCATCGTTGCATTGATCCGCGCGGGCGGGCAACCACCGCCGTCAAATTTCAAAGAAATTCCCGCGTAGCCCAGTTTAAAAAACGGGAAATTTACATTTGCTGATCGAATCTGGCAACAATGGCTTGCACCGCGCCGCAGGAAACGGAAGCGACTCAGGAACGCGTTGCGCAATCCGGTAGACGCGCACGGCGCATGCGCGGTGACAGATTTCGTGCACTGCTGAAATGGATAAAGAGCAGAATTCCGTTTAAGGTTACATGTATGCCTTACTGGCCCCGCCACCGTTGCGCACAGTAGGATTGTCTGTAGAATGTTTTTGGACGAGATGACGATAGTCACACTGGAAAAAAAAGTCGCTTGGATCTAGAGTTCAGACTGAAGAATAACGCCGTATGAACCTTCAGGCGTTGCCAAAGTTCCTCTGGCAAATCACTAATTTTCAGGAAAATTTTTGAATATTTTCCCGCCAATTTCTCAGATAATTTTGTTTGTAATTTGATCTAAAGTGTCTGACAATTTTACGGAAAAATATTCATACTTTTCCTCAAAAATAAGCATTTTCTCCAACGAAATTTGGCAACTCTTGAATGGTCCTACGGCGTATTTCCTTAGCACGGCAGTAATGCCATTGACAAGAAAAAATACTCTTGATTCAATCGGAGTTGTGTTTAAATCAAAAGTAAATGCGCTTAAATCAAGAGCAGTCTCAGCTGTATTGTGAGGCTAATAAATTAGAGCAAAGATGCTTGAACTGAAAACTGCACGTAACTCGCACTCCTTCATTCTAGCCTATGGGCCGAGTTATAGCATTTTAAATTTCCCACGAAATGGTGCAAACTTTTACCGCCTAAAATGGGGTGAAATCTCCCATGAGATGAATAGATTAATGTCAAAATATGCGTTAATAGCCCTTATTTAATATTCTTGCAATTCTCGAATATTGATTAATTAGAGTTGATATAAAAGTGATGCACTGATGTATATGGACTAAAATGCAAATACAATTGGAGGAGTCTCCCAGTGCGTCGATTTAACGTTCAATTCAGATGTATATACGCAGTAATTTTTGCACCTCCTCGTGAGAAACTCCTCTTGCGACACTTTCTCTATCTTGAATCCGTCGCGATCCTATCATATTTTGGAATATTCATAACCTGCGGTTCCGAAATGGCCATCATTGCGAAATCCGGCGACTTCTAAATTCATTTTGCAGAGATGAGTTACGCGAGCAGCCTTCGTCTTACGAAATTCTGTCCCAAACGATGCGAGATATCAATGCGGTAATAATTTCACGCGTTTAAATTTTATGGGAGTCTGGTCCGTTGTGTGAAGCTTTACAGTGCTTTCGCACCCTGCAACATGTCAAATGGACCGTACTTAGAAGAAAGGAACCAAGCCGCATCAGCTGTTGCCAAAATTAACAGGGGAATTCAATTTTTTACAAGAGAACGACTGAGCGGATTCCTTTGAAAATTTTAAGGAATTTGCTTCGCACTATGCAGTAAATTCACTGAACTTAGCACAAAAAATCGCACAATCATTTTCATGAAAAAAATTAAATTGCCCGATTAAATTGGCAACAGATGATACGACTTGGTTTCTTTCTGCTTACGCCGCGGTCCAAATTGAGAGCGGGTATTGATTTGTAAAGCCCGCGAGACTTGCAGGACACAAGAAAAAATCATAAAAATTCAAGCTAGCAGCTTTTGAGCTAGTAATTTGATTATTTTGCAACAATGTTTGTGTCTGACCAAAATTAATTTTGCAACGATACAGCAGTCAATTCGTGCTATACCTCTTCACCACCTGAGGAGAGTCTTGCTGATATTTCTGTCCCAGCGGTGGGCATACGGTGATATTCCCTGCTGGGAGGAACTGCAAAATATGAGCATGACGCAGCATGGAATTCTGTTGCCTATTGGTAACATGATATTTCCATTTTTACCGAAGTTTCAAAAATAATTCCAATTTTTTGTGTGAAAAATACCTCCTTTCCACAAAAAAGTTTTTTTTTAAAAATTGGTGTGACTATCGCAAGAAAGTTCCTGAATCAGCCAGAGGTTTTGCGATTTAACCAATAATTTTTAAGAGGGTAAAATTTATGAGGGATAAGATGAGGCCACTATGCTCTTTTCTGAAATAAAATTTTGAGTTATGAAGAACTGCTGTAAAGACATTTTTTTGTGAGTTGTATTTTCATATTTTGCTTGTTATGTTGACGTCATGTAGGTTTTTGAATACACTGAATTATTTTTTGGCTTTTAGCTCGTTTGATACATCATTTACCGTGTTATAAAGAACTCTCGTAGTGTACATCATGATGGTAGCTCAACTTATAATTCTAGCAGAGCGTATGTACCTCAAATTTAAG